TTTTTGTTTTATACAGTTGTCAGCCAGGCATCTAACTATGAAAAAATTACACTCCAAAAGACCCCAGGCTTCTGACAAAACAACCCGGGGTTAAGCCCAGTAAGCCACCCCCCCCCACCCCCGCGCTCCGCCACTGTGACTGTGATGAAGTGAAGCTGGTCAGCCAGACACAGATAACAAAACTATTAAACCGCCCACAATGACACACAACATGACCAAAAGGACAGAAAGCCATGTCAAAGAGAAACAGGAAACAGGTCCTAGATAGAGACATGACGGCCTCAAAGAGAAATAGCAGCAATGAGACAAAATGTTCTTATTAGGTTAATAACGTGACTATAAAGAGAGAGAATAGCCTGAAAAAGAACAAAATAACGACAGAGACATGACGACCTCAAACAAAATGACTACACAAAACTCCCTCGATTATAAACAAACAACTACCAAAGAGCCTCAAGAATAACTGCAAAGTGGTTACAAAAGCCTCATCATGCCTAAAGCTGGGCATACACGGTGCGATTTTGGGGTCATTTTGAGCCGATTTTTCAGTCGTGTGACCGTTTTAGGGATCGGCCCAAGTTTCGCCTTAATCATCGTGCGTCGTGCATCATGTAGTATACGTGGGGTAACGAGAAGCGATTAACACCTCACGACCATGGAAATCATCAATCCTTTGGTCGTAAGAAAATCAAACCTGTTTGAAATCCTGTCGCCCCTCGTGAGGGTGTCACCGCAGCCTCTCACACTGCGCACGCACAAACACAGAAATGGAAGTGAAAAGACGGAGCAGCAGTGCAGCGTGTGATCTGGACACAAGCGACGGAGGCACAACTTGTAGAACTTTGGCTCATCCGAGCCTCTTCGATGTGGCCTCACAAAATTATCACGACCACAACAACCGTGAAAAGAGTTGGATGGACATTGGTGCTCAATTATGTTTTTCATTAGCAATTTAACAAAGTTGATGGTGGTGGTGGTATGTGTGTGCGTATGTGTGTGCGTGTGTGTGTGTGAGTGAGAGAGGGAGAGAGAGCAAGAGAAGATATTGTGACCTTCTAACCCCTGCGAGTCAATCTTACAGTTTGAGCAGGAGCTGAAATAATCGTATGCTCAGCTTAAGAAAGACGCAAAATGATTTACTCGAGTAAAAAGGACACAGCTTATTTCTGAACTCCACCTTTATCAAAAATTTTGATTTTTACAAATGACACTAACATGCAGTACTCAGTCCCTTCTCTCTCCATGAGAATGAGCTAAAACCACATCTGGGATGTGGTCTGTGTGCCTGGAACGACGTGTTCTGGCACATCCAACGATGCCATACACCCACCACGCCAACCTCAAACCGAGCTGATTAGATTTCAGATGAAGGCCACTAAAGACTGAGCTTTTAGAAAGATGAAACATTTTATTAGAAACTTTCCCACTTAAAGTGTGGATGTGGCATACAGTAGGCACAGTCAGTAACAAAACACAGAGTGGTAATGATACCACTCACAAAACGTGGAAAAACTTTCTGTGAGCTTTCATTCAGCATCAAGCACACTGGAAATACACCAATGACCAAATAAAATTGCAACGTCTACAGCTGTTTTTAAGATTTTTCGGTATTATTCAGCAATAATGTGCTTTAACTGGAATCTTGTGAGACAGCAATAGTTGTTTTATCTTATATTCCTGTAATATTGCTCTAGGAACAATAACAATATTAGCATGGTTTCTTACATTAACAACAAATGCTCGTTAAAATGGCACACATTTTCATTATATTATGCTTTGAACTAAACCAACAAGAATGTCTTCTTACAGTATCAGAAAACTATTGTAATTTTCTTCCCCTTACAACATGCATTACAATCATACTACATATTATGTGTCTATATGTGAAAGAAAATGTAGAAAATAATGTTTGCAGAAGGAACATGTGGTATCTTAAGTATCATAAGCTGCTGTTATTTAGCAATTTAAAAAGAATTATTAATACCACTCATTTCCTGTAATAATGAGAAGTTGAGCAAATATAGTATATATAACAAAACTTTATGTAGACGTGCAGTTCCTTCAGCGCTGAAGCAGAGAAAGGAATAAATTACTCATTATTTCCACGACAGCTTACATTTTTTTGCATGTGTTTTAGATGGATCAATTCTATCATGATGGACAAGAACATCCTTTGAATTTAAGGCATAAAGCTACTAATATTATATGAATCATTTCATTAATACATATCTTAAAATTACTTTAAAGCAGTTAAAGTAAGCTAGTTTCGACTGTGCTATATTCAGTGTTGTATACCATTGAAGAGGTTCACACCAGCTCATTAGATGTCAGCAGTTCATGACTAAATATTGTTATCTTTCACACTTTGGGTCTCGTTCCAAAATCCTCTTTCTCTGAAGGAAAAACATTTTTCCATTTTCAGCTAAAATCAGTTAGGCAGTTACAATGCTTAACTGTACCTGACAATTCACACGACAAGATCTGATGCACAGTTTTACAGATTAGCCATGCCTGATCTAGAAGCAGTCTAAATTGAACTGATGTGAACTTTTCATTATATCAAAAAATTTATTCAGTCTGTTATGTATGGAAACACTTGAATGGTTTCTTACCTGAAGATAGAATAAACACAACATCATTATATCCTTCCACTCAGTCAAACACACTCACACTATAGCCAGAGGTTGTTTAGCTCAGCTATGATCAGCATAAAGGCTGGAAAAGGTCGCACACTAGATTCTAGACTGGTAATGTAAAGGAGGCAATACAGTCTTCTGAGCAGAGTCAAAGTAGGACTTGTAACCCTACATAGTGCATCTTGCTGTGCCGCTAATCACATCTAATACTGTAAAAGTCTTTATTCAGTGGGTAACTCATAAGCGAGCACTGATTACTAATTCTGCTTCTAATGACTGAAAATTGCTACTATGTGGCCGAGATGACGATAATTCAGAGCTGTACAATGTTTTTAATGTTTCTATTCTTTCCAGCCTTTAGCCTAAGCTAAGCTATACTGAGCTAAGCTAAGCTACTCTGAGCTAAGTTAAGCTAGGCAGCTGCTGGCTGTAGCTTCATATTTACCACACAAACATGAGACCAGTGTTTATCTTCTTTATCTGTCTGCAAGAAACACATCATGCCAAACTGTTGATTTATGCTTATTCATAACAGTGGGCATGAGTGGCTGATTTTAGACAAGTTTTTTGCTCTTGAAGCTGCTTTTAGCTGCTTGTCATTCTGCTCTGTTGAAGCTTACTCAGTCTTTCCGTATAGTTGGAGATGTTTTGAGATGCTCATGTCCTTCTGTGGAACTGGCTCACAGTAACCCCAGCCAGCCAAGGCTGATGGACAGTATATTCCAAAAAAAGTGCCATGTAGACAAAGTGAAATCTCTGTTTTCAATAAGGGAGGCTGTGTTCATCTGTTTTCTGTAGCTTTCCACAAATGCACTGTTAGTTTTTTCTAGGCCGTAATCCGTGGGGATCACAAAATCACATCATCAACGGAGAAAACAGACCCAGATATGGAATTTATAAGATCAGTATTTGCAACTTAGAAACAATCTTAATAAGTTGTCAGCAAGCCACTATCAACCATAAGTAAATGGTTAAACTGAAAACCTCTGACTTTCCAGCAGAAGTCATATGCTGTAAATCCTGTAAATCCTTCCAAAACCCATTCCCAGTCTCGTCATTCCGCCTTCAGCTCACTGCAGAGTCTGTGGTGGGAAATCTGTTGTCAGCAGCAGCTGCGGAAGCATTTCTTGAAGAATTTCTTGAACTCTGTGTTGAACATGGTGTAAATTATGGGGTTGAGAGCACTGTTGACGTAGCCCAACCAGGTGACAGTGCTCATTAGACCAGGATGGATGCTGCATGTCAGACACACGGCTCGCATCGTATGGACCACAAAGAATGGAGTCCAGCAGAACAAGAAGCAACCTGTGGAGAGCGTACAAAAGGGAAATCAAGTTTCTTTTCACTTTAAGTTGTAACTGACAGATTCATATGAGCATACACACACACCAGTCAAAGGTCTGGACAGCACTCCATCACTCTTTGGTCAAACAGCCCTCACACAGCCTGGAGGTGTGTTTGGGGTCATTGTCCTGTTGAAAAATAAATGATGGGATGCATGTCGCAGTAGGATGCTGTGGTAGCCATGCTGGTTCAATATGCCTTCAATTTTAAATAAATCCCCAACAGTGTCACCAGCAAAGCTCCCCCACACCATCACACCTGCTCCTCCATGTTTCACAGTAGGAACCATCGTTTCCCTTTCTGTGTCACACAAAGACACGGCAGGTGGAACCAAAGATCTCAAATGTGGATTCATTAGACCAAAGCACAGATTTCCACTGGTCTGATGTCCACTCCTTCTGTTTCTTGGCCCAAACAAATCCCTTCTGCTTGTTTCTTTTTCTTGGTGGTGGTTAAAATGGTGTCTTAACAGGATGCCATGTAGTTTCTTAGCAGCTATTTGCCTATAAAGGAATTATGTAATTTTCCAGACTGACTGAGCTTCAGTTCTCAAAGTAATGATGGATTGTCATTTCTCTTTTCTCAGCTGATTGGTTCTTGCCATAATATGAATTCTAACAGTTGTCAAATAGAGCTGTCAGCTGTGTACCAACCTGACTGCTGCACAACAAAACTAATGGTCCCAACTCCATAAAGAAGGCAAGAAATTCCACAAATGAACCCTGACAGGCACACCTGTGAGGTGAAACCATCTCAGGTGACTAAGTAAGTAAAGTTTATTTATATAGCACCCTTCACAGACATATGTCACAAAGTGCTTTACAAGGTAAAAACATAATACAGTCATAAAATACACCATAGAAAACCCTGGTCTAATTAAAAGCTTTTTGAAATAAAAATGTCTTTAGCTGCTTTTTGAAGGTCTCCACTGAGTCCAAACCCCGTAGAAATAGGGGAAGTGCATTCCACAATCTGGGTGCAACAGCTTGGAAAGATCGGTCCCCTCGGGTTTTAAAGCGAGTGTGGGGGACCACTAAAAGGTTTTGGTTTGCTGACCTCAGGTTACGAGTGGAGGTGTGTGTATGAATCAGATCAGCAATGTAGGGGGGTGCCTGTCTCTGTAATGCTCTAAAAGTTAAAACTAGAATTTTAAAATGGAACCTGAATCTGATTGGTAGCCAGTGCAGCGACTTTAAAACAGGGGTCATATGAGCACCCTTGTTCGAGCGGGTCAGTAGCCTCGCTGCAGAGTTTTGAACAACCTGTAGGCGGGCTAGCCCTTTCATGTTTAGACAAGTAAACAGGCTGTTACAGTAGTCAAGTCTTGTAGAGATAAAAGCATGTATTATCATCTCGAGTTCACTTGTTGACACGATGGATCTAAGTTTAGAAATGTTCCTCAGGTGAAAAAAGCAGGTTCTTACTGTCTGATTTAAATGTCCCTCCAAAGAAAAAGCTTCATCAAAAATGACACCCAAGTTTCTAAGGTTATGTTTCTGTGAGGAACCTAAGTCACCCAGTCGCCGTTTAATATCAGGTATTGCACTGCCTGGTGCAATAATCAAAGTTTCTGTTTTGGCCGGGTTTAGCTGTAAGCAGTTATTGTTCAACCATTGTTTAATGTTGGTTAAACAGTCAATCAGATTGGAGAGCTTATGAGCTTCAGCAGGCTTAAAAGAATAATATAGCTGAATATCGTCAGCAAAAAGATGATAAGATACTTCAGGAAACTGCTGTATTATCTGACTTAAAGGAAGAATGTATATTAAAAACAGAATAGGTCCCAGCACAGAGCCCTGAGGAACTCCACACAACAACTCTGTAGATTCCGACATGATCTGGTTTGCAGACACACTAAAACTCCTTTCAGATATATAAGATGAAAACCAGTCTAGAACAGAGCCAGACATCCCAACCAGGTCTCTCAGTCTGTTTATCAGGATGGTATGGTTGACTGTATCAAAGGCTGAGGTAAGGTCTAACAAGACTAGGACTGTGTATTCTCCGGAGTCTGCTGACATCATAATATCATTAGTAACTTTCAGTAGTGCTGTCTCAGTGGAATGCAATTTACGGAACCCAGATTGAAAACGGTCATGGATGTTATATTTCTCCAAGTATGCCGTAAGGTGGACAGCTACTGCCTTCTCAAGGAGTTTTGACATAAATGGGAGTTTGGAGATAGGTCTTAAATTTTGAAGTAGTGTTGGGTCCAGGTTGGGTTTTTTGAGCCTTGGTTCCACAATGGCATGTTTAAAAAAGCTGGGGAACACCCCAGTCTGAAGAGAAACATTAAAAAGGTTCACAACCCAAGGACCAATGGTGTCAAAGGCATTAATAAAAAGCTTAGTGGGGATAATGTCTGAGGGGCTTGAGGACGGCTTCATTTTGTCAACCAGGGCTGCTATTTCATCATATGTTACTGTTGTAAAAGTCGACCAGGAGTGCAAAGGGAGTGCCTGACTCGGAGAACAAGAAAGCTTTGGGGAGATTTTAGCATTGATGTCGTTAATCTTATCAACAAAAAATCGGAGGAGTTTATTACTATCTACTTTAGAGTGTACATCTAAAGGTACCACATCTGGGGAGACAATAGCACTAACTTTGTCAAAAAGAAACTTGGGATTTCTCTTGTTTTTTGTTATGAGTCTAGAAAAATATTCAGATCTAACAGTTCTCACTGTGTCATTTAAGGAGAGCATGAGATCTCGAAGATGGAGCCTGTGTACGTCAAGTTTGGTTTTCTTCCATAATCGTTCTATTTTGCGGCATATTCTCCTTAAGTTTAAGATAGACTCATTTATCCAAGGGCATGTCTTCTTTTGTAAAGCCGAGCTTGTTTTAATAGGTGCCACTTGATCCAAAATGGATGTGCATTCCCTATTAAAAGACTGAATAAGAACATTTACATCATTTCCGGTAAAAAGTGGAGACCTGTCAAACATAATGGAGAACCTCTCAGCAGTAGTCTCAGTTATTATGCGTCTATGAGTTTTTAACTTCACAGGCGTCTGTTTAGAGCTAAAATTAAGTTCAACAAAGATACAGTTATGATCACTCAAATGTACATCCTCAGCAAACACATTGCCAATGTTGAGGCCAAAGGAAAAAACAAGGTCCAAGGTATGGCCTTTTACATGGGTTGGACCGGAGACATGTTGGACAAAATTAAAAGACTCAGATATAGATAGAAGTTCAGCTGCAGAGTTAGATGAGGCATCATCAATATATATGTTAAAATCCCCAAGAATTAAAACTTTCTCCAGCTTGATAATAGAAGATAAGAAGTCCATAAAATCCTTTAAGAACTCAGTAGCAGGGCCAGGAGGGCGATAGACTAAAACACAATGAAAGATGTTCGTAGAGCCCACCTTAATTGTTTGTGACTCAAAGGAAGAATAGTTTTCAGTTTGCATACCTCTGCAGGTGAAACTGTCCTTAAAGACAACGGCAAGACCTCCACCACGGCGACCTAAATGGGGGGCGCCCAAGTAAGAGCAGTCCTCAGGACGCAGTTCATTTAGGTGAATAAATTCGCCATCCCTCTGCCATGTTTCGGTGAGAAACAGGATACTGTGAGACTATCAGAGGTGTGAGCATCACAGCAGATGCCTTTGTGTCAAAGTAACTGAGAATAAAACACAGAAAAACATGAAGGAGATTTTCCTGGCCTGGCTTTTTATAGCAGATAACCTTAAAAATATTCTGCAATTTTGCATAATTTTAAAAAGTTTGACATTTCTTGTTGGAAGTCATTTAAAAAAAAAAAAAAAGACACCGGCTGACAGCGCTGTAAACAACAGAAACAGGTAATAAGCGAAGAAATGCTAAATGGTAAATGGCCTGTATTTATATAGCGCTTTACTAGTCCCTAAGGACCCCAAAGCGCTTTACATATCCAGTCATCCACCCATTCACACACATTCACACACTGGTGATGGCAAGCTACATTGTAGCCACAGCCACCCTGGGGCGCACTGACAGAGGCGAGGCTGCCGGACACTGGCGCCACCGGGCCCTCTGACCACCACCAGTAGGCAACGGGTGAAGTGTCTTGCCCAAGGACACAACGACCGAGACTGTCCAAGCCGGGGCTCGAACCGGCAACCTTCCGATTACAAGGCGAACTCCCAACTCTTGAGCCACGATCACCCCAATTTGAGAGAGAGAGAGAGAGAGAGAGAGCGCTGTGCATGAAGTGTGATTTTATCAAAGCAAAACAGCAAAAGTCAGAGTGAATTCATGACGATGTTTATCAAATGTGAAGCGTAGTTTGATCTTCTTTTGCTGCTGGTTCAGTGAATTTTGGTTGGAGAGAGACAAAACCTGCAGCTCAGACTCTAGCGCAAAAAAGACGTAAACACAGCGCGGACCTGATGCATCAGGATCGTGAGCTCGGCTTTCAGCCCCGACGGCTTGTCCGTCTACGGGCCGTCGGGTGAGAAAGCCGAGAAAGAGAAAGCTGATTCTGTTGCGTGGGGTCTGCTCTGCGCTTACGTCTTTGTGTGGAGTCCGTGTACCTGCTCTCATTTACTGTTTGGTGGTTGTTGAAATAGTTTTATGAGCTTTAACCTGAAATTCTGGCGTTTCTGGCAAAATAAGTTTACATTTAAATGTCAATTCAGGATTTAATGAATCGATATCGCTTTATTCAAGCTACTTACCTCTCTATCCAAATCAAATGTACACACGAAGGACTACGGGAATATCTGGACCACGGCCAATCAGAGAGGCCCCGCCCCTGACTGTCTCTGATTGATTTAGACCACGATAGGGCATAATGTGTGTCTGCTGTTGACCACACGGAGACGTTCAGAGTGGCGGAATTTGTTTTTGGGTTTTTTGTAGCAAAGAAAAAAATGATTCATAACTCTATATTTCAGATTCCTGACAGCGCTTTAATTCAATTCAATTCAGTTTTATTTATACAGCACCAAATCACAACAGTCGCCTCAAGGTGCTT